GGGGGGGGGGGGGGGGTAGAGAATCTGTCGCATAATCTCAATTCCTTGAATTACAGTAGAGGGACATTCATTCTGCTTCAAGTTCAAGTTCTGGCAAAAATACAACAACACATGGAAAAGAGCCAAAAGATAAACATCCAAATTGTACTTTTGGTCAAGACACAAAGTACATACACTGTGGAAGAGACTATCCTCTGTGCTGGACATCTTTGTGTCGTGTCCCCACACATAGACGGCAAGACAACAAGACAACCAGAGACCCTATTACTGACGTCACAGTCACACACGCGCACACACACACACATACAAACACACACACACACACACTCAAACACACACACACACACTCACACACACACACACACAAACACGAATACAAACACACACACATACAAACACACACACACACACACACTCCAACACACACACACACACACACACACACAAACACGTTCACACACAAACACACTCACTCACACACACACGCACACACAAACACACACACACTCACACACACACACGCACACGCACACAAACACGTACTCACACACACACACTCACACATACACACGCGCACTCACACATACACACACAAACAGTACCGAGGATGGCGGCAACATACCGATGCGGTAAATAAATGTCTGACAATACACTCACAGCAAGTCCCCGGGCCACACTTCCACCATGTAAAAGCATCATACCGTAAATATACACAAATTTTGTAACACAATCGACAGCACACAAAAAGACAGGCAGCTCAATGGCCCTAGCATTGTGCAAAGCTCCACATCAACATTAATTTTCTCATGACATTTCTCCCCTTAGATGCACCAGGACGACACCGGTAATAATGCAATTTTTATTTTTAAAAACTTAAACAGGCTCCTTCTCTCTCTCTCTTCTTTTTCTCTCTCGTACACCCACACACACTCACTACCAGTTTGCTCAATTCACAATCAATCTTACATTCCTTTACAGTACCAACATTTGAGAGGTGTGCTGACATAATGAGTATTTTATATACATGTACTTCTCGCAATCCAAGAATGGAGACATCGGTCGAAAATCGACACGGATCAGATTTACAGATTTTTAATCGATGGCATTTTGTTCAAGTCTACCATGTCTTTTATTATTCCATACTTACAAATTGTACAACCCCTACCTATAAAGTTGAATTACTTTTCATTAGGCTAAAAATCCGAGAAATAACTCATTCTAACAGCACACCTCACATTTAATTTCGTCCCGTTAAAAAGCATTCAACTAAGAAAAGACAAGGTACAAACAATACAAATCATGTCACCTGTTCAGCTCCCCCCCCCCCCCACCACCCAACATTTTCCCAGATTCTCCTGTCTTTCTCGCCAGTGCTCGACATTTGTGAGGGTATTAAGAACCAGAACATTTTTTAAAAATTGGGCAGCACTGCACGACCGTGCTCTGTGGACGAACCACGCCTGATGCCTTGACCTCATCCCGATGAAACCCTGGATGGAGAAAGATTTATTCTCTAACCCTGAAAAAAATGGCGGTAGAGTCTCAGAGTAGAGAGGGGAGGGGAGGAGGGGTGGTAGTGTAAAACAACGTGGTGAAGATTAGTAACATTTCCCTACTATTTTTTTGTAATTAAGATTCTTTTGTGATATATAGCTTTTAACAGCCCCCCCCCCCCCCCTTCCCAAAAAAAAAATGTCGTCAACGTTTCATTTACTCCCCTCTCCCCCCTCGGAGCTGACGCCATTTGTTAACGGTCCCCAGATCTAAATGTCTAACAGACCAGTCAAAATGAGAGCCAAGTCGCAGAGACTGAGTCAACGAGTCTACGGCATCAATCTGAACTCTGCCACATCTCCCCAGAGGTCTACTAGAGGATAATACCAACACTAAAAACGAAAAGATTGCTGTCGTCATTTTTAAAAGTACAGTAAATATGTGTAGTTTTAAATTTAATAATTTTGCAGGAGAGTCAAAAACCTGAATGTTGATAGCAAAATAAAATGTCCTTTGAAGATAAGGAAGTTATTTTCAAAATTGTATTCTTAAAAATATTGACTTGGAAAGTTTGCAAAGAGTTTGTTTTCTTGATAACACCATTCAGTGGGCTTTTAAAAAATATAGTAGAGGGTTTTACGGCGCTCGCAACTGCATAAGGTCATATGAGCGCCAAGTGGTGGGTGTCAACAGAGAAGTCTTTACAGGGAATCAGGCTTATTCTTTTCACCTCTTTAGCTTCAACAGCACAAGGTCTGCTTCGACTATCAAGGCACCCCGGAAATAGCAAGCTACAAGAGAGTGACAAACATATAAAAGAAGTAGAGGAAAATCACAATTGAGAGAATTAAGAAAAAAAAGCAGCTGTTCCCTGTTGTAGATCAGGCACAGTTATGAGCGTGACATGAATCAGCCCATTTA